TAGGGAGCTCGTCACCAGGTAGCTCTCCACCAGGGAGCTCGTCACCAGGTAGCTCTCTACTAGGGAGCTTGTCACCAAGTAGCTCACCACTAGGGAGCTCGTCACCAAGTAGCTCACCACCAGGGAGCTCGTCACCAAGTAGCTCATCACCAAGGAGCTCGTCACCAGGTAGCTCTCCACCAGGGAGCTCATCACCAGGTAGCTCACCACCAGGGAGTTCGCCACCAGGTAGCTCATCACCAGGCAGTTCGCCACTAGGGAGCTCCATCATCCTCTGAGTCATAGGCCACCTGGGGGTAGGTCAAATGATGAGGTACTTAGCCAAAAAATTGGTACATCACAAAAAAATTGGTACGTAACCAGAAACGATTACATCATGAGGTATTTCAATAATTAATGAAATTCAGTAAATAATTAAAATTATTCCAATTATATAGTAAACAGTAATTGATTAATATTGATTATATTAATTACTACAATAATTGCCTACGTTATCTAGATTCAAATCCGATCCATTACACTTTTTTTTTTGATACTCAACAGTTTGCTAACATTATCTAGAGTTAGGTCAATAACTATGTTATTTTTGATTGTTACTAGTGCTTTTTTAATAGTAATTAATGTTAAATTCATGACCAAAATACAACAGTGAAGAAATTTTCTCCTTTTTTGAATTTTTTATTTTTTTATTTCATCTCATTTTTAAACAACCAATGATATGCTCTCCTTCCCCATAAAAATTACATAAAATCTCTTTCTCTCTTGCTCCCGGGTTCCCAATAACCTAAATAATATCATCTCCTAAAATTTCTCCTAAACTACCTCCCCTACTATCCTTCACTTTCTCCTAAATTATCTCCAATTTAATAGGGGTTTATCTCCTAAATTATCTCTAATACTATTTATCCTCTCCCCCACTTTTTATTTAAGTTTGAATTAAAAAATTTAAAATTTATTTAATATTCTCACGAAATCTAATATATATATTAAAGGAAGGTCTTTAAGCTATAGCTCCCTACCATTTAGACATGTGGCTTTCTCATTTTTCTGGATATCTAGACACGTGGCATTTTCTAAGAAGTTGTTGTTAAAGCCCACAACCCACTACTACCATTCACACAAGTGACCTTCCTCATTTTTTGGAAAGCTAGACACGTGTCATTTTATTGAGAAATTTCTGTTAAAGCCCACAATCCACTACCATGCTACAGTCCTCCACTATTCAAACATGTGGCCTTCTCATTTTTTCTGGAAAATTAGACACATGGCATTTTCTAAGAAGTTGCTGCTAAAGCCCACAATCCACTACCACTATTTAGACACGTGGCATCCTATTAATTCAAGAAATAGGGTTCAAAAAGTGGGTAATTTCACTCATAAACATTCTCAATAGACAATTATTTATTTGCTTAACACATGTTTATCTAGTATATTAAATACAAATGGTGAAACCCATTAAAAGATTACCATCAACCCACATTTGTTTTTAAATGATTTTTTTTTCAAAAAGAAAATACTTTATTAATTACAAACTTGATTTAACTTTTAGGAAGCAACCTAATTTAACTTTTAAAAATAAATAACTCAAAATAGATTTATTAGATATATAGTAAATACCAAATAAAGTGGGCTATTGTTTACTAATAAGATCTCGTTTTATATCTTAAATCAAATTAAAAAATATAAATTAGTGGGTTTCAAATAAAATAGGTCAGAATAGATTGTCAACTACAAAGATGCAAGACCTATATTAGTTTTTTTTTTTAATTTAATTTTTGATAACTAAATAGTAAACTTCAAACTAAATTATACATGCATTTAGTTACCCTGTACTTAGTACGGGGTCATTCTCTAGTTATATAATAACTTTAAAATATTTAATGAAAACACAAAAAAATAGTTATACTCTCTCTTTCTGTTCCCCACACATTCCTAATAACCTAAAATAATATCCTCTCCTAAACTACCTCCCCCACTATCCCTCACTTTCTCCTAAATTATCTCTAATTTAATAGAGATTTCTCTCCTAAATTATCTCTAGTCCAATTTATCCTCTCCCCCACTTTTTATCTATATTTATCTAAAGAATGTTTGGATTAAAAAATTTAAAAATTATTTAATATTCTCACAAAGTTATATAATAACTTTAAAATATTTATTAAAAACACAAAAAATAGTTATAATAGATTTAATATTATTCATATTATTAATAACTTTATATTTTTATAAAATTATTGTTTTCCAGATTAATAAATTTAAATGTAATTCAAATAAGTTATGTACTAAAAATATAAATTGTTGTTTTCTGGATTATTTGATTTAAATGTTATTCAAATAAATAAATATTTAACATTAAAAAGTAAAATATTGCTTAAATATTTCAATAACTAAATATCTAAAATAAAAAATATTAAAAATAGCTAAATAATTATATAACAAAATATTTAATATTATGTAATAATTTAAAATAAATAAAAGTCAAATAATTAAAATTTTCAAATATTTTATATATTATTTAAATTTTTAAATGAGTAGATATTTTAACTAGTGAAATATTTAACATAACTAGATATTAAATGGTTAAAATAATGAAACTATGTAATAAATTTAAAAAAAAATTCTTAAAACTAGAAAAATCATTATAACATAATATTTAAATTAAAAATAATTTAATAGTTTCTAAAATTAATAACGAAATTATGTAATAATAGTATAAATTATAATTTTTTGGAATATTAAGTTCAGTAAATAGTTAATATTTTAAAATTTAAATAATGATATTATTCAAAAAACTAAATAATATTGTAAATAACTAATTTCACTTATATTAATTAATAATTATAGAAAATAACTTTTAAAAAAATTAAAGTTTATTAATAATAATTTTAAAATCTTAATCTATATTTATTATATATTTATATATACTAAAATCAATATTTGTTATATTTCAAGTAATTATTTATTGTTTTTTGTGATAAATGTACTTTCAATAAATGTATAAATCTTTTTTTTTGTTATTTAACATAAAATTTTCAATAATTATTAGAAATTAAAAAAGTTTCTTAAAACTAGAAAAATCATTATAACATAATATTCAAATTAATAATAATTTAATATTTTACAAAATTAATAATGAAATTATGTAATAATAGTGTAAATTATAATTTTGTAGATTATTAAATTCAATAAATATTTAATATTTTAAAATTTAGATAATGATATTTTCTAAATAACTAATTTCACTTATATAAATTAATAATTCTAGACAATAACTTTCAGAAAAAGTTAAAGTTTATTAATAATAGTTTTAAAATCTTAATCTATATTTATTATATACTAAAATCAATATTTGTTGTATTTCAAGTAATTATTTATTGTTTTTTGTGATAAATATTTTTTCAATAGTTATGTATAAATCTATTTTTGTTTTTGTTATTTAACAGAAAATTTTCAATAATTATTAGAGATTAAACTACAGTTATTTAACTTTTCAAGTTTAATTTATTATACTTACTATATTTATTGTATTTTTGTTATAATTTATTGATTAATATTTATTAGAGATTAAACTATTGTTTGAGATTATACTATTTATTGACTAATTTAATATATTTTTTAGTTTTATTTTATTTTTTTAATTATTGTATTTTTATTGTTATTTATTGTATTTTTATTACCAAATATTTTCAATAATTGTGTATGTTTGCTATAAATTTTCAATAGTCATTGAAGAACTATTTTTATTTATTAGAGATTAGATTATGGATTTAGCTAAAATTAGGAGAGTTCACGGGTTGGTTAGTTGTTTGGTCAACCAAATCAACCTGGTTAGGTTGGAGAGTTGGTCACTCGAAACTAGGAATGCAAACAGATCAGATCATATTCGAATTAGGGCATATCCAAATTCGACCCGATACTGTTAATTGCAGATCTCGGATATTATACACATGAATCTAATTTGATTTTAAAAAATTAATAAATTATTAAAATGAAAATAAAATATAACAATTTAAATAAATAAAAACTTCCATCATGTCATAGAGGGTCCCACCTCTGGTCTCTGGCAAGCAAACCACAAACAGTTCATAACACCCAATTACCAACCCAAACACCCCGTAAGATAAGAATCCATCTTTCCTCTCGGTGGCCACCAACACTGGATTGAACACCCCACCGAACACCAGTGCTTGCCTAACCATTGACAATGCTGAGTTCCTCACACACGTTGGGAACAACTCCAGCGTGTATATCAGCAACGCGTTGAATGCCGTGCACGTGCTAAACAAAAACTACAAGTATCTTTTCAACTTTTTTCATCATATATATACATATTTTTTATAAAAAAATAAATAATATAACAAATTTACAAAATGTAATATAAATAATATATTTATAAATGAATAAATAAGTAACATATCTATAGGTGTTATATATATATTTATATATATAAATAAATAACATATATATCGGATCGAATCTTATCGAACCAGATAGGGGTCGAGTGATTTAAATTTGACCTAGTTTCTAATCGGATCCGAAGATTCAAAAATGGGGCTATCTGAATCCAAGAATATAGGATCGGACTTCGGATTGGATCATGATCTGATCCATTTGCACCCCTACCCGAAACCAACTAACCATTAGTGAATCCGCCCAACTCGGGTTGTATCAGTTTGAGTTGAATCCTATTGGCTACCATGTTTATGATACCAATTGATTGGTCAAAGTTTTTTCAGATATCATATATTTTCTATATCATTGTCGAACTCAAAATATAAATAATCATTAAATATTATTTAAAAAATAAAAAAATATAAAATAATTGTATACTCTTATGTATTTCTATCATTTAACTTTTGCTTAACAAATCCCGCTATTTTATTTATATTAAACTACACCATAGCCCAATTCTCCCACCAACCCATTACCATACACAAATACATGATTTCAAGTCTGAACACTTGATTAACAGATCGATAAACATCAATAAACAGACTAAGCTATTTAAATTTCTTATGGAGTTTCAAAACGGCCAGCACCACCAGCAAGATGAGCACAAAGGATCCAAGCAGAGACACCACGATGGAAGCTGCAGCCTGGTGACAGTATTTCCCAAATACGCTACAAACCTCGTTCCATTTCAAGTGTGAGTTGCCTTTGTAGGCAACGACGCCGATGGCAGAGGCGGCTCCACTACCGGAGAGAAGCAGTCCCACCATTATCACGTCGAGGATCACAACTGCCGGCGAGAAGCCATTTGTTCCGACTCGCTTGGGGATTATTGACAGCAGCAGAGAGAACGCTGTGTGAGTGCATGCTATGGCGTTTGCCACCACGAAGTATCTTAACAAGTAAATTAAGTCAGTTAATATATTATTGATCAACAGAGGACAAATTAATACACAAGGGTAAATTAGAAAGACCCTTCTCAACTTTCACTCTCTTAGGTTATGTTTGGTTTGTATAGATTTCCCTGTCTTTTCCTTCCTTTCCCTACTTTTTCCTTCAAACCAAATATAGCCTTGGAGTTTCATCAGTTAACTTCAAAAAAAAAAATATTCTTATTTAGTTGTTTAAAGTTTTTCAAATCTCCGAATTACCCTTTTATTATTTATTTGAATGATTTATGATTCCATTCGTTTTCTAAACATAACATTGATGCCTTCTCATGCGGTTGCTCGAATGGATTCTTGCAGATTTATTTCTGATGGATATAAATTTATGTGGTTTTAATTTGTTTGTTTTTTCTTGATTTATTGGAGAAAGGAGTGGATAATTTTTATATTTTAAGATGAAGAGAGGCATTTATGTGAGTGAAATGAATCAAGAATTTAAAAAAGATTTTTTTTTTACATGTCAATGAAAAATACTTGTTATTTTAGCTGGTTTCGTTTGTTTGCAGAAAACAAAGGTATTTTTGTTCTTTTAGCATTTAGGCTGTATTTGATTTGAGGGAAAAAGTAGGGAATGGAATGAAAACCTTTACAAACCTTGTATAGGTTTCCCCACCTTTCCCTATCTTTTCCTTCAAACCAAACATAGCCTTCAGAGAAAAAGGACAAGAAAAAGAAAATAAGGAAAGTTTAGGTGGACATTTTGATAATTTTAACACATTCTGTCATCTGACTTAATGGTAATGGACTATTTGTTGCAAAGTGAAAGTTCAGGGGTCGTCGAGTATTTGTCATTACAAGGGGAGTCTTTGTAATTTACCCAATAAAAGGAAAAGGTAATTAATTAGAGAGCTTACATGGAAGTGGAGATCAGGCCAGATTTGGCAGTAACAGCAACTTCCAAGGGAGGAAGGTCAGGGATAGGGACGATCTTAGTTTCCTTGTTAACTCCCATGACGATGGCGGCAACCAGGGTTGTGACGAAGGCCAGCAGTCGAAGCAAGAACTCCGGCAACCTTATGACAGTTGTTGGGTTCTCCGCCTTAACCACCTTCCCTCCGCTCTCCGCCACCTCCATTCCAGCCATCGGTCTTGCATCCTATTGCTGTCTTATGACAGTTGAAGGGTCCTTATATAGAGTGAAAGAGAGTAGAGGGGAGGTGTTCGGATCTCCTACCCATAAGAAACCTACCCATACCTATCCACATGACACTACAGTTGTACATTGAGAACATTTGAGAGGAGAGCTGAAGAGTACTAGATTGTTTATTCACTTTCTAAAAGGTAATAAATTCAGCAAACCAAACCTCGCGTCAATTCTTTCCTGAGCTGATATATGCTAAGGATGTAACCCAAATTCTTTTCAATATGCTTGGCTCAAAATTAATGGTAATGGTCATTTAATTAGAGACAAGAACATTTACTGGCCGTCTGATATTTTAGATCACTGATTTAATTTCGAAATAGGTTATATATGAGTTTATCTGGTAGTAGTGATTATCAGCACTGACTTTTGTTTTTAGACCCTATCCATGTCAGATGTTATATCATTGGTCTAAAAAGAGGAATCGTTATTTTTGGTGATTCATCTTTTCAGCTCAATTTTACTAACATTAATAGCCAACCAAACAACAAAATAACCGAGTGCTGATGTGGCACTCGGCATCGATCCCCAAGTACCACCTTAGTTAAACTTCTGTTCCAAAAGCATTTTTGCCAAACACCTACAAAACTGAAGGCTGAACATGAGCGTTGGCTTAATTTTAATTTGTGGATATGCTTCCTTAGATTGCTTTGGGAAACCTACTCCCATCACTGAGTAAATCAATGGGAATTTCTTTGAAATAATTAAATGTATATGGTGGTCATGAAAGCAGACAAGCTGAACATATTGTTTTTTTAGATGAAATATTTAAATCAAACTTATTATATTTAAATTAATAGATGAAATATTTAAATAAATGTTTTTTTTTTTTTTAGAGTTCAGTCCCTTTGAAAATTGTTTGATTGATTTTCCAAATGTATTTATGCCCACACCCTATAAAAACCATCCCCATAAAATAAATTAAATTAGGGGTACCAAAGAAATTATATTAAATGAACATATTATCACAAAAACTATAAATTCCAAATCGGTGCATGGATGGATCAATATAGACCTCCTTGTAGCAAATTGGAGCAGACCACAATGAAGAAATTGGTGCATTGGCTGCCTCTTGAAAGATAACACTTAAAGTGAACTTAATGGGTTGTGGGAATTAAATAGGACGGTGTCTAATTGTAACGGGAGAAGAAGTAATTATGATTTTTAATATTTTATCTTTACTTTTTGAGTCCACACGTGCATTGTATAAAAATTGAGAGGAGTCCGTGGGAGGCCTTTGGTGAGACGTCCTTATCTCTTCTCTTTCCTCTTTATATTCAGTTCAGATCTGCGCCCCACAACGTCTTGTATTGGAAATATCTCCCAATGATGTTTCGGAACATTGTGGGGCGCAGATGTGAATTCCTTTATATATATATATATATATATACTTGTCATGGGGAAACATTAATTCTTGATTGCGAGGTGCCAATTCACTAGTTGGTAAGGTCTCCCCACTGGTGTGTTGTAGGGAAGGCTTGGTATCAAATACCGCTCACACCAGGGTTGGGGGATTATGTGGGTTTGGAGGATGGGCTACCCCCACTTTGTAGGAATTCGTATCAATGTTTTCAAAATTGGACTGGATCGGGCAGTTCGACCAGAAAAAACCAGGAACCAGTCACCAGTCACCTTACTGGTTCCGTTTAACCCCAAAACCTCTTTTGGTAAAAAACTGTTGATTTGGTTAGTGAACTGCTGACCCGGGCAATCAGACCATCGAACTGTTCGGTTTGGAAACGGTTTTCAACCGCTTTTTTTTTTTGTCAGAGTGGTTGTCCATTCGGACCAGATAGTTGGATCGTTCGACCTAGAAACTGAACCCAAAAAGATTCTCCATCCGGTCTGATTTTAAAAACCTTAATTTATATCATCAGCCAACAAAATATGTTCCAACCCCTATTAACATGATCCTACACCGCACATCTCATGATCCCAACTCGTTGTGTAGCCCCATGGATGAAAAAAAAAAAAAAAAAAAGAAAAAGTCCCCATGGATAAAAAAAGAAAAAGAAAAAGTTGAATTATTGGGCTTAGGTTAGAATTTAGTCCATTCAAATTTCACAATTTCCCAAACCGACTTAGCCCAAGTTGCACGTCTAATTAAATGTAATGAGTCATGATTAATGGAAAGTGCGGTAGGAGCTTTTGCATTAGGTTTACTTTTTGCACCACTAGGGAAAGTTTATGGCAGGACAAGATCATTTGTATCTTCATGAACATCCAAAACATTGATTTAAGATTTTGATTTTAATTATCCTTCTACCCTTCTACTTCATTCTCTCCCATTTAAAACGGGGCCATGTCTATTTTTATATGCCCCAACAGGGCATGTCATTACTCCACAATCCAACTGGCCCCCTCTCTAAAAAAGATAAATTTTAGTCACGTGTAAAATCTAGTTCACTTTTTCTTTTCTTTTCTTTTCTTTTTCTTGGGGGTAATTGACTTCAGTCCATCTCAGAATTCTTAATGCAATAGTACAACTTGGGTTAGTGTTAAGGGAAGATTCCCAATTCACGGGGATGGTGTTTATGGGGGGCTGGGATAAATACATTTAGACTGTGTTTGGAAACAATGCAAATGAAGTGTAAATCTCCGTTCAGGATAAATTTGCACTTGGTTCACTTTTGCCTGTATTTGGCAACATTACATTTATGCATTGACAAATGACAGATCAATGCATATTTACATTGATAATAAGATGTAAAAGTACGTGAATAAAAAAAAGAAGTAAATTTGCATTCAAGTGGGCTTTTGATAAAAAAGAAAGCATATACTTTATTGGAATTCATATTTGCATCCATTACAGTTAAATGTCTGTTTTGGTAAGAAGGTAAATTTTTTAGTGCAAAACTAATCCACTTTTACAATTTATATGAACCGTTTTACGTTTTACATATTTGCATTCACACTTATTTGCATTGTTTCCGAATGCAGCTTTAGGGATTTAATAAAACAATTATGAGGGGGAATGGACTATAAAAAGGCCTTTTCTTCTTCTTCTTCTTTTTTTTTTCATGTTTGACCTTGTTTTGTTTTCCTTCTTGATGGAGCAACATGGGAACTAGAATGATGTGGACCTGTTCAAGTGCAGGGGTAGCCTGACGAAGTGGCCTTGCCTGGCTTGGCCCGCTATTTATGGGGCGTGGACAAAATTTTAGGCCCGTGAAAAAGCCCAAGCCTGGCCCGATAATATTATAATGATAAAAATGATATATTAATAATTAATAATATATATTAATTTATTAAATTGTTACCAAATGTTAACTTATAATTCAGGAAATAGGAATTAATTTATTAGTTTATTAAATTACATTGTAAATAGGACTTTTTATGTATAGACCGGGTTTTGGGCTTGGATTGGGCTTTAGACTTTATATAAGGGCTGAACTCAGGCTCGGACCTGAATATTTTCTGTTCATAAATAGATAAAGCCCAGCCCGAACTTGGCCTGGCCCATGAACAAGTCCCTGTTTGAAGGTGAAAGATATGCTCTCTCAATTTGGAAGGAGTAAACAGGAAGTAAAATAATGCATTCCTTGTTTTACATGAGAGAGAATTAAGGTAGAAGGAAGGTGATGCAGAATTTGCATCAGTTTTTAGAATGCAAAATCTGCTTTGCCACAACAAGTGCAAATCATGGTTACAAATAGAGTATGCAAATCTAAAAATGTTTTACCATGTAAATGAAGCATTTTCTGTTTGGCTTCCAATCCTGTTCAACACACTAGAAACCATACACATGAAGTTGGATTTTCATTTTGTGCTTGACAAAGTTCAATGTTGTCTTTTGGAAGTTAGGTTTGTCTCCTTGGCTAAGGTTTAAAGTATCGACACAATATGCCCCATATGAAATGTGTATATCATATCGTATCGGCAAGGTTTTGAATATGCCTTTTGTTAAGAATAATCCCCAAATCCTCTATTTTATATGTTAATCCATGTCTAAATCTATTTCTTAGCCTTATTTTGCTTTTTTTTTTGAAAAAATAAAAATAAAAAGGGAAGCATGTGATGTATTAACATTCTCACTAATTAGGGTGTATCGATACTCTGGATTGGCCTGGCATGACGGTTCGTGGGCTGTGCCAGGCTCGACATGATGGCCTGGGCCGTGTTGGGCCTAAGATTCTAGGTCCATGTGCTGGCACGACACAGCCCGTCATAGGCCGGCACAGCACGACCCGTGGGCCCATAGCGAGCCTTCAGCTTTTGGAGGGTTTACAAAAATACACCCCAATAGCTATGAACAACTAGACAGGGGGTATTTATGTATTTTGGTTTGTGGGGGGGAGGAGAAAGAATGACTCAAATGCCCCCTAATAGCTATATAACTGCTAGAATGGGGGGCATTTTGGGTAAAGTGATAAATAACTTTACAATCATCTGAAGCAAATGATCAAAGTCAAGAACAATAAGAGAAAATGATGAATTCAATATTTTCTGTATACTTAATTGTATAGCATTTTTTCAAATTATTATAAATTTTGTTTTAATTTTCTTTAATTTATTTGATATTTTTTAATAACGTAATTTTTTTTTTTATTTTCAATTTGTAATTATATTATATTATTTTATATTTTATTAATTTATTCCATTTTCTAATTTTCATATTTTATTCATCCAACCATTGTATGCTTTGTATCATTCAAATTTAAATGAAATAAAATTCCTATTTTCTTCCACTTTGTCTTTTTGACTTCTTATTTGGTTAAGTGTTTTTTTTTTCATTTCTTTGTTAGATTTCTTATTTTTTTCAAATAGTTCTCAAAGGAAAGTTAAATATTTTAGTTTTACTTAGCAAAGAAATAAAAAAAATAAAAAGTCAAAAAGAAAAAACAAAAACCAGTATGACTTGGTTTGGCCCACGCCCAAGGCCCTGCATGGCTTGCAGCCTACCTGGCCTAAGCTTGCGACACAACACGACATGGCATGGGCAC